AATGTTACCTCTTCTTTATTGAAATAATACCCCCGCCCTTTCTCTCTATTTCCTCACTCTGTTTTTAAACATTGTTTATTATAGTTTTTATAAAGGCATTCTATATATTAATTTGTTTATTGTCTAACCCTTCACTGGGAAGCATATTCCATAAGAGTAAGAGCTGTCTCTCTTGCTTATCACAGTCTCTCCAGCCTCTGGATGGGTGCCTGCCACAGAGAGTTTCAATGAACACCAGTTATTGATTATGTTGTCAATGAATTGGCTAGTTTTGTCACCAAAGGAAATAATCAAGAGATTTAACTTGATTGGTATTTTAGTCATATTGTAATAGATATTTTGTCATTCCCATAAAAATGGGAGGAACTGTCTTGAAAACCCAATTTGTTTGCTATTTCTCCCTCTGTTTCTTTCTCAACCAATCGAAGTCATATGCATACATACACATACAGCACATACTCAAAATAACTTTATTAGATCATTAGTTGAAGGGATGGAAAGTTGATAGTCTTTGATTTTGTTCTTCATGTGTTGTAGATTTCAAGTAAATTAAGTTAGTCCCAAGAAAACAAAGTATAAACTCTGCAATTTTCTGAGAATTATTGGAACCATGTCTTCAACACGAGATATGAGTCTATAAATATTTTCAGTGCTTAGTGTACTAATTACATTTTGGGGCTGATTCACACGTAAATGCTTTCATATTTTCACCACATGCCTGTTGAAGTGTACATATTTTTTTTCCTGGAAAAGCACGTAAAATACAAATCTTTCTACTTCAAAGCAGCAGCAGAGGAGTTAGAGTTCTAAATAATCTCTGATTTGGAATGGTGTTCCACTAGCATGAAACCAACATTTCATCAAAGTGGTTTGCTTCAGTCAGGATTGTACCGGTGAGATATAAATTATAAATCATATCTTCTGTTTTACATGGAAAATGGGAGCTCTGAGGTAGATCATGCTTGAACAGATGGGCTTGAGGTAGTTTCATGTCTTCTGCTGCTTATGTTTTGCTTCTAATGTCACTTTCAAAGATTCCATCATTAACTTCAGAGACACTAGGCAAGGAACTTGCAGCAACTAAATATGGGTTTTGACAAAGATTCTAGCAGCCAGGCAAGGTGGGGTGACGTGAGGTGACTGGAGAAGCACAAACAAACACCTACAGGGGGGCAGGAGAGAAGGGAGCTGGGAGAAGAGCCGGGACAGAGCAGAAACGCATTCCCCCTCCCCACTTCTCAGTTCCTTTCTTTCAGAGGCCGAATGAAAGGAAAAGAATGTGGAAGGGAGTAGCAGAAGTCCTGGCTTTTAGATATAACTCCATCTGCACCCCATGGTTAATCCTGAGGCTCTGTTGCTCACCTGGAATACGAGGAGATTAGACCAGGATTGCACCGATGTGCTGCAATTCTGCTGTGTGAGTTGTTAAATATGGAAATCCTTGTTGGTGAAACGCCCCCCATATCATTTTCCAGAGCTCCTATAACAACTGCAGCCTGGGGGATTTAAAACAACAGAAATATGTTTGTATTTATCTGTCTCATGCTGCTATAAGAAATACCCGAGGCAGGGTAATTTATAAAGTAAAGAGGTTTAATGGATTCACAGTTCCACATGGCTGGGGAGGCCTCAGAATCATGGAGGAAGATGAAGGCTGAGAAAAGGGATGTCTTACATGGTGGCAGACAAGACAGAATGAGAGCGAAGAGAAAGGGGTAACCCCTTATAAAACCGTCAGCTCTCATCAGATTTATTCACTACCATGAGAACAGTAGGGGGGAAACCAACCCCATGATTCAATTATCTCCCACCAGGTCCCTCCCACAACATGTGGGGATTGGGGGAGTTACAGTTCAAGATGATATTTGGGTGGGGACACAGCCAAACCACATCAGTATTCTCTTGCTGCTCTGGAGGCTAGAAGTCCAAAATCAAGGTATCAGGAGTTGACACCTTGCTCCCTCTGCAGGCTTTAGAAGGAGAATCCTTCTTTGCGTCTTGCGGCTTCTGGTGGCCTTGGTGCTCCTTGGCTTGCAACAGCTTCACTCCAACCTCTGCCTCTGTCTTTCCATGGCCTTCTTATCTGTGGTTCTCTCTCTTTAGGCCCACTCTAAATTCAGGATGATTGCATGTTGAAATCCTTAACTGATTACATCTGCAAAGACTCTTTTTCTGAATATGAGCACCTATCTGAAGTGGTAGGTAGATATGAACACTGTTGCAGGGTGGAGGGGACACGCTATTCCACCCATCACATCCCCTGAATGACTCTGCTACCCTAGCTTTCTTATCACCTTCCTTGGGACTCCTTAAAACCCTTCTAGATCCAGCAACTAAAGTGTTAATGCTTTGCACAGTAGGGTGCCTTGAGAGGAAGCCCCAGACCTCTATGTCATACTAGAAGATCCAAGGACCTTGTCTGTTTGGGCATCCTGACCTGTACAAGGAGTGAGCAGAGGTGAGCTCAGTGAGGACTACAGAGACTTCAGACTTATGTGGAGGGAAGACAGTGACTGGGAAGCATATCTAGGGAGACTGGAACTCTGTGTGATAGTGGTGAGGGTGATGGCAGTGGTTTTGTGTGTGTGTGTGCGCACGCGTGTGCGTGTGTGTGTGTATGAGTGCACATAGCTGTGATGGGGATGTGTGCCAAGAATACCTTCTGCTTGGCAAAACTAGATGCCCTGATGTCTTGACTGGGGGAAGTGCGTTTCCTGCACCTCAACCTTTCCTCATGTTGTTCCTTTGCCTGCAGAGCTTTTCTTCCTCCGCTTATTGGGGAATGCTCCCATGCTTCAAGGTTTTCTGGAATTTCATTCAGACCTGTTGTGCTGAGGATCCACTTCCCATCCTTCCCCTGCAGGAGAGGGAGGAGGCTACAACCTATAGACTACGTTTCCTGGAGCTGGGTCAGCTGTCCTCCAGCTGCATTCAACCAAAGGGAAGCACTGCTGGGACCTAGAGGGTGGGAGGAAGAGAGAAGCCAGGGTGTTTCCCACTTTTCCTCTGCCTCTCATGAATTCCCAGCAGCAGCTGTTTTCTCTGTAGCTCCAGTTCCCACTGGATAGACCTGCCATAGTCCATCTTTCTCTGCTCCCATATCCTGCAGCTCAGGGGTGCAGCTCCTCCTGCTATTGTTACTATCTTGGCTGTCTCACAACCCCATGTTTGGGTTATGTCCTCTATCACTGGTAGCCAATTCCCTGTATTCATTTCCTTCTGTTTTAAATACTCACACTATTTGACTGATGCACCTTTGCTGTATTATCACCAATCACAGTGTATTGCCATTTAACCATCTACTTCTCTGCTTCTCTAATGAGACTATAATCTTGTAGAGGGCAGGACCTGTGTCTTACCAATTTTTGGTACTCCTCTCCCTACCAGAGGCTTCCTCTCTCATCCATTCTGTCCAAGGCCTTGTACACAGGAGACTTATATTAAATGTCTGTTGATTGAATGAATAAATGATAGACAAAAATGGCCTTTCAGGAGCGTGTAAATTGATAGGTAGAGATTGTCTTCTGTTTCCTTGACATAACTTTCAGGAATCTGTTCTTTTCTTACATATCACTTATCACAATGTGTAATTGTATACCTATCTGCATGTTTATTTGATTAATGCATGTATTTTCTCCCCAACTACAAGAAGCAAAGTGTGGAGCAGTTTGCTTAGTTCTGCATTATCCCAGCATGGTGTTTAGCACATAGAAAGTGCTCATGAGATCCGTGTTAAATGGAGAACCCAAGTAGACCTCTAGTAGCCAACAGGTGGAAGCAACTCAAGAGTTCATCAACAGATGAACAGATAAGCAATGTGTAGTATAGACATCCAATGGGATGCTTTTAGGTCTTAAAAAGAAGGATATTCTAATACCTGCTGCCACATGAATGAATCTTGAGGACATTAGGAAAGCATAAATCAAAATCACAATATCACTTCACACATATTAGGATGGCTATTGTTTAAAAAAGATAGTGTTGGCAAGGATGTGGAGAAATTAGAACACTTGTGCAGTTGCTGTTGGGAATGTGAAATCATGCAGCTGCTGTGGAAAACACTGGCATTTCCTCAAAAATTTAAACATAGAATTACTATATGATCCAGCAATTCTACTTCTGGGTATGTAGCTCAAAGAACTGAAAGCAGAAAATCAAGCAGACACTCGTGCAACAGTGTTCGTAGCAGCATTATTCACAACAGCCAAAAGGTGGGAACAACCCAAGTATCTGTTGATGAATGAATAGATAAACGAAGTATGATTTCTATATAGAAGGCAACATTATTCAGCCTTTAAAAAGAATAAATTTCCCTTACATGCTGCAACACTACTGAACCTTGAGGACATTATGCTAAGTGAAATAAACCAGATTCGAAAGGACAAATAATGGACGATTCCACAGATGTTAGCTTCCTAGAGTAGTCAAATTCATGGAGACAAGAAGGTGATGAGTGCGGTGGCTCATGCCTGTAATCCCAGCACTTTGGGAGACTGAGGCGGGTGGATCAATTGAGATCAGGAGTTCAAGACCAGCCTGGTCAACATGGTGAAACCCTGTCTCTATTAAAAACACACAAAAATAGCCAGGCATGGTGGCGGACACCTGTAGTCATAGCTACTCAGGAAGCTGAGGCAGGAGAATTGCTTGAACCCAAGAGATGGAAGCTGCAGTGAGCCGATATTGTGCCACTGCACTCCAGTCTGGGTGGCAGAATGAAACAGAAGTAGACTGATGGTTGCCAGGGAATGTGGGGAGGGGAAAATAGTGAATTATTATTTAATAGGTACAGTTTCAGTTTGAGAAGATGAAAACAGTTCTGGAGATATATGGTGGTGATGGTTGCACAGCATTATGTGTGTACTTAATGCCACTAGCTCTATGCTTAAAAATGGTTAAAACGATAACTTTTATGTTATATATAATTGATCACAAAGGAAAAGAAATAAAGACTGGAATACAATTCTCTAGATTTGCAAACTTCCAGAATGTATCATTGAAGGCAGATGGGCATTAAAAAAAAAAAAAAACAGATTCTGATTGACTAGCTAAAAATCATCATGTTGATTGGTTTTGCTTCAAATCAAAACCAATTAAATTCAAGAGTCAGAAACTCCAGGCAGACCCTGCTTCCTCAAGACCCCTTAAGACCCTCCTTGCTCTGACGTGGGTGGATGAAACAACCCTGAGTTCTGGCCCCCATGCCGAGCCGACATCTTACAGCCCCGCACGCCACTTGGACACAATCAATATTGTCAGTGTTTGTGCAAGCAGCTCTTAATACCAGAAGTTGAGGAGGCAGGTGGATAATTTTGCAGTGAGGGAGGAGGAAAGCAGGCCGACCAGGTATCTGTTACTCAGAGAGAGATGAAAGAGAAATCAGCAGGCCTTTTTCTAAGCTGAAAACAGCCTGCATGAGCTGATCATGGGACGGCCAACTGGGCAGCAGGAATTTCTTCCATTATGGTTGACCAGACTGAAAAAAACTTTTCTGGCCTGCTTATGTTAATAGGGTGTTAATAACTGATGTGGGGGCCGAGGGGTTTTATGCCACCAAAGGAAAGGCAGAAACAGGGTCCTGACTTTGGTATTGATGACTACACCAGCACTTCTTCCCTTGCAAAGACAGAATTTTAAAACATTTATGGTAGCTGAGCTTGAGCTGGGCTCCAAACGGCTCATGGAGGAATGAAACGATCTTGTCTGGTGTTCGCCTTCCTTTGTTCTTTCACTCAGACATTAAAAATACAGCAGCCTAAAAGGAGAAAATAAATTTCAAAGATCCTCCTAGATGTCAGGCACAAAGAGGAGGTAAGATGTGGGGTGAGTTTGCTAAACAGATAAAGCCAGTAGGTAGAAGATGCTCAGTAGATTCTTTGGAGACAAGGACTTAACTCTGTCTTGGCTCCTCGAAGTCTCCTTGGAGAATTTCTAATATAAGGGCCTGGTGCACCTGCTGCCTTGTTCCCTGGGTTAGGGGATTTTGCAGAACGTTTCAGAGGGATGCTGAGTTTTTCTAGGAAAACAGCTTTTCTCTGTGTTCTTGACCCAGCTAAGCTGATCATTTTCAAAAGCGACACGGCTTGGATACCTAAAAACAATAAACATATGTATTAACACATCCTATAAACACAGAAAAGCACATATAGCAAAAGGTGCACTTTTATACATTGTGTTGTTGTATGTATATGTTCACCATTTGAGGGCTCCACCTGCATCAGCGAACCTAACACTGGGTTAAGCATATTGTGTTTAAAGGATCAAAATTATTTCCTTGGAACTCTCTTTCCATTGCAGATCAGATTCTCACATACTTTGATAATGTCTAAGAACTAGAATGACTGTAGACATTATTCTTCAAATGATAGGATTTGAGAGTATCTGTGTAAGCCTCCTTTGAGATGTGAGATACCTTTGAGGGTGAAAATGTACAACAGCCATAAACTGAAATTGTCCCAGAAAACTGGGATGTATGTTCACCCTACCAATAACAAATAGCAGTAGACATTGATCAAGCATCAAATGTTGATTCTCCATTTGCCAGTGTCCCGCCCCATACACTCTTTGCCCCGCTCTTCCTGCTCTGTGCTGCAGGAGGTGAACTCCTGTGGACTGTACCTCTGGCTCCCTTGCCCTTAGATTCAGCCAATGGGAGGCCTAGCAAGAGATCCAGAAAGGGAGGGGAGAGAAGCCAGAGTATTTCTTCCCTGTTGCCTCCCTGCACTGGTGCAGCATCCTTGGCAGTGGCTTCTTCTTCCATGACTACAGCCCTTGTCAGGGTGGTTCTCCTGCAAACTCTAGCTCTCTCTGGCCTCCAGTAGCATAATTTCCTGTCCTTTCCTCTTCAGCCCTAGGAGATAGAATAGGCTTTTACTATTCCTGGTCTTTAGGTGCCTTGATATCCCTCATGACCCTGCCACACCCCCGTTAGTAGTTCCTTTACTGTAGCCTCTTCATTTAACCCTCTGAGTTAAATTTGCCTCCTGCCAGGGTCCGGATCGACACATTGCTTGCTATGAACCATCTTTCTATGCACACCATCTCATGAAATTCTTACAACAGTCCTGAAGCAGTTACTGTTGTTATCCCCATTTTGTAGATGAGGAAACTGAGGACAGGGAGATTAAGTCATTCTCTAAGATCCACAGCTAGACAGTAGTGGAATCAGATCGTATAGGAGTGACTGGAATCTGGGGACATTGAGGTCGGTCTTGATCAAAACCATTCTCAGCCTGATGACTTAGGAGCCTCTGATTGTATCCCAGGGTAACCAGGTATCTCCAGAAGTTCATTGCAAACCCTGAGGCTCAGAGAATAAACTCATAAGTATGAGACTCAAGTGGGCTTTCTTCAGGCAAATAAGCACTGACTGTTTATATCTGTCTCTTTTTGGAGGGGTTGTTATCTTAATATTGGAGACCAGTATAGTTCCCAGATCTGATGCACCAGCATTGCCTGGAAACCTACTAAAAATGCAAAATCCTAGGCCCTACTCCAGACCTCCTAAATAAGATTCTCTGCGATGGGTCCCAGCAATCTGTGTTTTAACCGATTAACCAAGCCCTTCAGGGGAAGCTGATGCTTTGGCTCTTGGGCTCTTGTGGCTTCTTGCTGAAGCCTGGCACTATCTGGCTGAAGCTCTTTGGGATTTCCCGAAGTCTTCCTTTGTCTGATGGGATTGAGAACAGAAGAGAAGATGACATGAAAGCCCCAGCTTCCCTTCCTCCCTGACTCCCCTGTGGACCACCTCTCTATTTGTGCAGGTGTTATAATCATTGAAACAGTTGTTCATGAATATTTCAGGACTGATGACAAATCCTGAGCCTGATTAGCAGGGCACAGAGGCAGGAACCCCAGAACCAGCTGACTGTACAGCCTCTTGCTAATCCTAATGGGGCCTCCAGATTGGGAAGGAGGAGGCCTTGGTAAACATGGAGCCCATATCTGATGGAGGGAAGGGTCTATGTCTGACTTTCTCCATGCTGGGAAACTTCTACAGGAGGAGTTATGGGAGCATCCTCAATATTGTACTATAAGTGAGGTTCTGTTACTTGGGGATAAGCAGCAGAAACTAACTACATTAAGAGAGAAACAAAATAAGTTTGCTAGAGGGTGTATTAATCTGAGTCCAAGCAGATAAATATAACCAGCAAAAGATATATGTTAAGAGGTTTATGGCAAGAAATTGGTTTATGTAATGTGGAGCTGGCTGGGCAAGTCCTAAATCTGTAGGACAGGCTCTCTGGAAGGGCAGGCTGGAAGTCTTGGGCATGGGTTGAACTGCCATCCACAGGTAGAAATTCTTCTTCTGGCCTTTCACCTGATTAAATCAGGCTCACTCAGATTATCCAGGATCATCACCCTTACTTAAAGTCAACTGATTAGGAACTTTAATCACATCTATGAAATACCTTCACAGTAAGAACTAGCTTAGTGCTTGATTAAATAACTAGGAACTATGGCCAAGCCAAGTTGACACATAAAACAGTGGGGCATGGAGTACTTTCAAAAATATAGAAAAGGCCACACTGGGAGAATCAAGAACTATTCTGGAAGGCCAATTAGCAAAAGCACATGGAATGCTCCTGGGAGCCATCTTTATGGAGAATTATCACAACCAATTTTGATCTCATGTCACTTCTGCTCAAGGATAAGTTCCTGAGTTTATATGATACCTTCAATTCAATCACCAAAACCACAGTGTCCTTTACTCTTCCCCATTTAATAACTATACTTCCCCCCCCACAGTGAAAACATTGTGTTCCAACACGATTGATAAATTTATTCGTTTGCCCTATCCTACAACATATGCAAAATAGTTTCAGAGTTACTACATCAATACTCCTATTGACAAAGAATACTCTGAGTAAAGTTTAGGGTTTCTTTATATGCTCTTCTTTCTTAGACTGTGTCCCATTATAAGTGTACAGTCCGAATATTGAGTTTACAAGTTGCTAGAATTACTTTTTGTGTGGGTGTTTGGTTACATCGTCATTGTGGTATATGCTTCATTCTTTTCTGTCTGTGTTTGGTTTTAGGGTTTACTTTCTGTATCCTTTTAAATTGACTGTTGTTCTTTTAAACTATTTACAAAGTTTGAATATCTAAAACCTATGTAAGAGGAAACAAGCACTAAAGTCTCCTCCCCACCTCTTTCTCCTTTTCCTTTTTCCTACCTACTCCTTATAGGAAACTATTTTCACTCATTTCTGTTTGATTTCTGTTTCACTCATTTCTGTTTCTTCAGCTTCTTTTTACAAAAATAAGTAAATCCTATATATACTCTTACTTGCTCTTCTTTCTTACACAAATGGTGGCATATTGTATACATGTTTAATGTTTTCTTGGTAGAGATAGGGTCTCATTTTGTTGACCAGGCTGGTCTCCAAATCCTGGCCTCAAGGGATTCTCCCACCTCAACCTCCCAAAGTGCTGGGATTACAAGAGTGAGCCATCACACCCAGACTTAAAATTTTTAATTGTGGTTAAAAAAAGAATACATATTATAAAAGTTACCATCATAACCATTTTTAAGTATATAGTTTAGTAGTGCTAAGTATACCCACATTGCTGTGCAATAGATCTTTAGAACTTTTAATCTTGCAAAACAAAATCTCTATACACATTTAAAAACAACTTTACATTTTCTCCCTTCTTCCAGCCCATGGAAACCACCATACCACTTAGTGTTTTTCTGACTTTGACCACTTTAGATAATGCCTTATATAAGTGGAATCATACAGTATTTCTCTGTTTATGACCAGCTTATTTCACTTCGTATAATGTCCTCGACATCACATATACATTTGTTTGTGCTTTACTTTGTTACTTAAGAATAGTCGCTGGAAGTCACTCCATACTAGTTAAGCAAGATCTCTCTCATTCTCTTTTGTAGGTGTATAGTACTCTGCTGTATGATTACATAATAATGTATTCAACCAGTCCTCTGTGGATAGGCATTTAGATTGTTTTCAATATTTTACTGTAACAAAAATGTTGTAGCCAAGAACCTCATGCATGTGTTAATTATATTTGTAAGGATGTATTTTCTGGGTAGATTTCTAGAAATGGGATGGCTGTGTCCAAGGGTAGCAGTATAAGTAGTCTTATTAAATGTTGCCGAATCTTCTCACTAGGAGTCATGCTGTCTTGCATCCTCTCCAGAAATTTAGGAGAGCCCCTGCAGCATCTCTAACAAAGTGTGTCCATAAGCTTTTGAATTTTTGCTTAAGTGATAGGTGAGCTATGTTGGCTAGGCCTAATTCTAATTTGTGTGTCTGTTACTATGAGTTCAGTCAAACATCTTTTTATGTATTTAAGGACTATTTGTATATCTTTTTGTTGTGAATGATGAAATAGACTTCCCCATTTTGAGATTTTTAATCTTTTTCTCTCTTTCAGAGACTACACTCTTGAAAATTATACTTGTTATACATAGAAAATAACATAAAGAAGGTCAATATTTAAAGTTAGTATTTATTTTTACTGTACAGTATCCAACACTTTCCTTTCTAAAGGCATCAGAATCTCTCTTTTGGGGAAGGCCCCATTGTGTGGAAGCTCAACAGGCCAAATCCACCTTTTCTGTCCCTACCTGAGCCATGATAGTGGTGAGTACAATTAGACCTAGGTAGTCAGGCACAGCTCCCAGACTCTGAATCTTGAGCATGCTGTCCTAGGACACAAGAAGATCAGTTGTCACAAGTAGTGATGTGTCAGGCTCTTCCATCAGCTGTGCCAGGAAGCTCTGGGAGGGTTTTTCAGTGCAGCTCTCCTGGAATTGCTGGGTACCTGCTTGCTCTCAGTCTGCTCTTTCTGGCTCTGGTTGAGGCTCTAAGCCCCAGCAACTTTCCAGGTAACTAATATCTTCTGTTTACTCTCTGAAGAGTCAGTTTCTATTGCTTACTCTTTGTGATGGCTAATTTCACGTGTCAACTTGACTGGGCTAAGGAATGCCCACATAGCTGGTAAAATATTATTCTTGGGAGTGACTGTGAGGGTGTTTCCAGAAGAGATCAGCATTTGAATTATAGACTGAGTAAAGCAGACCTGCCCTCACCAATGTGCATGGGTATCATTCAATCTGCTGAG